GGGGCTGTGCCCCTCCCCTCCTCCTTTCCGCTCCTCTTCTCCCCCACTCGGCGGTTCACCCCCCGCCGGGGTCGAGGCCGGCGGTCCCGCGGCGGCGCGCGGAGCGCGCCGTCGCTTTGCGGCCCCCGACCTGAGCGAGGCTTTGCTCTTCGCTCGCGCTGGCGGGGGCGGGAGGCGTTGATCCTCCCTTTCGTTGTTTCTCTCTCTACGCAGGGGAAGGGGCTTGCTTACTGGACCTTGTTGGCAACTCTCGTGAGTCGCTGGCTCGAACACCGCGCTGGCCACGTCTCCCCATCTCGCGGCGGGCTTCGTTCCAGAGAGTCGGGGCTTGCGCCCCCCTTGCCCTCGGACACTGCGTCCTATTATCCGAATCCTCCTCCTCCTCCTCCTCCTCCTCCTCCTCCTCCTCCTCCTCCTGGTCCTCCTCATCCTCCTGCTCCTCCACCAACGTCTTCTCAGATACGATACCTGCCAGAAACTTTCGTCTCGCCAATGGGTTCCACAACTGAGCTATGCGCGCAACTGCCTGCAACTGTCCTCGGATCCGAGCCCGTCCCCCTGCATGGGGGTCCCCCACGGGCGGCAGCGTCGAGATCACGTCGGCACATCTCTGTCTCTTGCTTTTGAAGATGAACGTGCATGTCCTGGAATGCACTTGGGTTGACGAGCTGGGTGGCGTTCTCCGAGAACTCGAGATGATCCTGAAGCCACGGTGAGCCACCAGGGCCCGCGCCAGGGAGATGCTCTGGCGCCAGACACACCTGCAGACGGACCGAGACACCATGGCCCTGGAGGTCAGCTTGTGGCCGCCCGAGGCCAGCCGAGCATCTCGAACTAGACGTCCAGCACATTGCCGAACCTTGGCGGTGACCTTGAGGAGCTGAGGGGGGTCCTCGAGGAGCCTTTTCAGAGAGCACCTTGGACTCCAGCCAGCCAAACGTGGGCTTGAAGAGCGGGCCCAGGTAGACCCATTTGGGGATCGGGCGCGGGCGCTGTTCCCTTTTCAGGAGGTCGAGGACCCCATGTGACGGTAACAGGGACATGACCAGAAACTTTTTTTCCGAAAAGCCTCTTGGGGCTCTTCCATCGTCGGTGCAGTCTAATACGTTTGGCAGAGAAGCCAAGGGGGGAGGAGGTGAACAGCCTGTCTACTTGCTGAAGTAGTGGCGTAGGCCATCAGGCCCAGGCGTAGCCCAGGACGCCCTAGAGATGAACCCCGAGACGTCATCCGGGAGAGGCGCCTTCAGGTTACAGAGGTCATCCGAGGAGGCAAAGCGACGCGCGGGCTCCTCTGCACGTCGAGGCACAGGATCAGCATGCTCGAAAACAGGCGCCCAGCACGACGAGAAACTGCGAGAGACCTCATCCTCCACTGATTCCTCCTTCGCACCCTCAACATCTTAGCCACCTCCACCTCCACCAATTTGGGAGTGTTACTATCACCATTTTCCCTCCTCCTCCTCCTCCTCCTCCTCCTCCTTCTCCTCCTCCCCTCCTCCTCCTCCTCCTCCTCCTCCTCCTCCCCCTCCTCCTCCTCCTCCTTCTCCTGCTCCTCCTCCAGTAGCCATTTTGGCTCAAGAGCCCACCAGGTCGGCGGTGGACCTGCTCTGCTACAACGCTGAGACCAGGCCAGCCACAAGGTTCGCAGCCGTTTGATGGCCACGTTCTTTTTCCCCGCTCTCTCGCGCCTTGCCGCCCCCGCACCCTTGCCCCGCCATCTCGCGAGTTCCGAATGCACCCGCTGGTTCGAACTCTTATCTTTACAGCAGACGCGATCAGCTACAGCGCTGGGGACAGCGAGAAGGCGACCCATCGGCGAAGGAAAACCGACCCGATTCGACTAAAAGGGCTTGGCCTGGAGCCTGACATCATCAGCTACAGCAGCGGCGCCACGGCGCGCGAGAAGGACAGGAAGTGGCAGCAGGATTGGAGTAAGGGTGCGAGCCCAAAGTCGTCAGCAGCTACAGCGCTGGGCTCATCGTGACAGCCAGCGGAGGAGCACGGCAACAGACGCGATCAGTTACAGCGTCGGGGCGAGCTCGCGCGAAGGAGATCCAAGTGCGCGCGCGGAGCAAGCACGGGCAGGCAGCAGCGAACATGTTAGAAGGCAGGCAGTGGCACCAGGTATTTTGTCGCCACCGGGGACTCGCGTGAGAAGGCACGCAGTGTGGCATCAGCTACAGCGCTGCGATCAGCTCGCCCAGGAAGGGCGCAGGAATGCACAGAAGGCTTGCGACGCAGCGCATCTGCATATGATCTGCGCCGTGGGTGGAGGTGGCCACCTTCTCAACTACAACGCGGGAATTGCAAATGCGAGGGGCTGGTGCCAAGACACCATCAATGCGACAAAGGCTGGGGCACCTCTTGGCCGTCACCGCGGAGCGGAAAGCATCCGACCACAAATCGGCCCTTTGAGGTCCAAAGGCTTGGCCATTTTCAGTCTGACACGGGGTCGGCCCGTGTTTCTAAATTCGGCCGCCAGGTCTTCGGGGTGCTTGCGCCTCCCGACTATTCATTCGACCGCGATACTCCCCAGCGATCCTCCTCCTCCTCCCTTTCCTCCTCCCCCACCTCCTCCTCCCCCTCCTCCCCCATTATTTGCCCTTATAGCTAATTCCCCACTGCCGCACCCCCAAACGTGTCGGTTGGGCGGACTGGGCGCGTCGCCTAAGACTTCCTCACGGCGCATGATCCAGAGGTTTGAAATTTGCAGCAGCTTCTCGGATGGAGTGCGGGCGATTTTCAAAATGCGGATGTCGCTAAGGCGCCGCGCACATTCCGCGCACATTATTTTTCAAAATTTGCAACAGTTTCACGGATGGAGGGCGGGTGGTTTACAAAATACGGTTGTCGCTTTAGCGACGCACACCTTTGTTCGTAAAAGTTTGCATCAGCTTCACGGATGGAGGGCGGGTGAGTTTCAGCATGTGCTTATCGCACTAGCGACGCGCACATTCGTTTGTGAAGTCTGCAGCAGCGTCGAGGGCGTTTACGTCTGAAGTCCCAGAAATGGCGTTCTTGCGCGGTGTATGGTTGCCAGGACACAACAGCTATGTTGACGCGCGGTGATGGCGGTTTAGGATTGTCAGGACGTAACGGTCACCTTGATTCGCGGCGCTGAAGTCCCAGGAATTGTGTTTTGACACATTTGGGGATTCTCAGACGATTCTCTTCTAATGGGCCACTTCCCGCAATGAGAATACATCGCTGTAGGAGCCTATGAAGACAGAACTTGGAAGGAGTGGCTATTGCAACATCGTTGTTGCGTCTTGGGTTTACACTAGTCTTCCTCCTCCTCCTCCTCCTCCTCGTCCTCCTCCTCGTCCTCCTCCTCCTCCTGTCTTCTCCTCATCCTGGCAGATAAAGGCCCGCCCCCCGCACAAGCGTGGTGCCACTTGCCAGCCAGACCTGACGGCCCGGGGAAGAGAGCGAAAGTCTTTGGAGGCCTCCCGGGGCCCCCAGAACTCCCCCGAGGTCCTTGCATGCCCCTGGGGGGCCTTCGGAGAACTTGGAGGGCGAGGACCTTTGGAAGCCTCCGGAGGGCATCTTGAAACACGAACGACGAAGAGCGATGGTCGAGGAGAAGACAGAGAGGAGGAGGGGGAGGAGGAAGAGGAGTAGCAGCATCAGCAGCAGGAAGAGGAGGGCGAGGGAGGGGGGAGGGGCAGGGGCAGGGGCAGGGTAAGGGAGAGGGGAGAGAGAGGGGGAGGGGGAGCAGGAGGGGCAGGGGGAGAGGGGGAAGGGGAGGGGGAGGGGAGGAGGAGGAGGAGGAGGAGGAGGAGGAGGAGGGAGGGGGGCAGGAGGAGGAGGAGGAGGAGGAGGAGGATCGAGGATCGAGGATCGAGGAGGAGGAGGAGGAGCAGGAGCAGGAGCAGGAGCAGGGGGATCGAGGATCCAGGCTCCAGGCTCCAGGATCCAGGAGGCGAGACAGGGGCGATGATCGTCGAGGGGAGAAAATCAAACACCTGGCGGCTCTAGATCTTTCGGGGCACAGGCTCCCGAATCTCTCGGCACCTCCACAAGGCTGCTTTGCAGCCATGGACCCAAAGTGAAGAAAAGTTGGCCGCTTCGGCTAGTTCGAGCCGCTAGATGTCTACGGAGAGGCTGGGAGGCCGAGCAGGACGAGGAAGAAGAAGCGAGGAAGAGGAGGAGGAGGAGGAGGAGGAGGAGGAGGAGAAGGAGGAGGAGGAGAAGAAGAAGGAGGAGGAGGAGGAGGCGCAGGAGGAGGAGGAGGAGGAGGAGAGGAAGGAGAAGAAGAGGAGTGGCGAGAGCGCGGAGGGAAGGAGGCGAGGACGAGGACGAGGAGGAGGAGGAGGAGGAACAAGAGAGGAGGAGAGGGGAGGAGGAGAAGACGAAGAAGAAGAAGAAGAAGGAGGCGAGGAGGAGGGGATGCAGGCCAAGCAGGACGAGGAAGAGGAGGCGAGGAGGAGGGAGAGGAGGAGGAGGAGGAGGAAGAGGAGGAGGAGGAGGAGGAGAGGAGAAGGAGGAGGAGGAGGCGAGGAGGCAAGGAGGAGGAGGAGGAGGAGGAAGAGGAGCGAAGAAGATCGGGGTCGAGGACCGAGCACCGAGTGGAGAGACAGAGGCTCCTTTCCTGACGTTGCAGCTTGTCTCGCGGCGTCGGCCCTCGGGGCCCCGTCGCCACATTCCGCGGCGTCGACAAAGCAGCCGCCACAGTGCTTGGGCGCGCGACGCTCAGCTCTCGAGGGGGGCTCGAGGGTCAATGAGGAGGAGGGCGGTGAGAGGCCTAGGAGGAGGAGGAGGAGGAGGAGGAGGAGAAGGAGGAGGAGGAGGAGGAGGAGGATCGAGGATCGAGGATCCAGGATCGAGGATCGAGGATCGAGAATCGAGGAGGAGGAAGAGGAAGGGGAGGAGGGTTAGGGGTCGGGGTCGAGGATGAGGAGGGGGAGGCGAGGCGGGAGGAGGACCGAGAGGACCCTGGAGGGGCTGGAGCGAAGATGGCGCATAGCGCCCGCAAGCCCGCGGCCCGTGGGCGCCCGCAGCCCGCGCCGCGCCGCCAGCGGCGCCCGAGCCGCCGAAGCGGGAGCGGAAGCGGGCGCCCGCGGCAGGCGGCCCCCGCAGCGGGCCCTCGCGCCGTGGAAGAAGCGCAGCAGGAGGGTGTGGGCTCGGAGCCGTCTGGGGGTCCGAGGTGGCCCCGCAGTGGTTCTGGCCAGCGAGAAGGGCGGGCAGGTTCAAGGTTCTGGATTCGGCCAGGTTTTGTGCCTTTTTCGACCTCCGGGAACTGGCCCCAGGACAGTTGAAAATGGATCCGCCGTGATCATCACGTGCTCCAGATGGACCCCGGGAAGGATCTGGGAACCCATTTTGAACGGATTTGGCCTCATCCCCCCTCCTGACCGATTTTTTTCTGGAGTCCTGCTGATATGGATGGATGGCATGTTCTTAAGCCCCAAACGGCTACAGTACATCAACTCACAATCAAGTGCATGTTGCATGGATGTCCGCACGCCTCCTCAGCGCGGCACCCTCGAGGGTGCAAGCTGGCCTTAGCAACTTGCACTCGTCCGTAGCTCGAACTCGTGGCTCCAGCACATCATCGGGTGATCAGTCCGATCGATGCTGAAGCGAAAAGTGTACTCTGGATACGCTCCGCCAGAGCACATTGAAACCAAACGCGTTGTACCGGTCTTTGTCTGTTGCTGCCTGCAGCTGTCACTAAAGCGGGCTGTGGCCTACAGCCTCGCGCCAGCTCCCTTCATCGGCTGCGGATCCCACTCAACCCCAAAACACTTCTGGCAGGGGTACGAACCGAGGCTGAGAACGATGCCTCGCATATGTGCAAGGGCCCTGACTGCCCTTGTCCTCGCAGCTCTTGGGTGCTGGCTCTACCTGCACGCCTGTGTCTCTAAGGCATACGGTCAGCTCACGGCGCTCCTCACGGCGCTCACTCAGCACGTGCCTCTCGATGAGCACGCCCGTCGCAATCCCAATGAGGGTCAGGATGACCATCATGAACGCGGTCAGCTGCATGCCACCGCCCTGCGACTTGCTCCCGCCTGCCGAGCAGGTGGGCTCCACGACCGTCCCGTCGGCGGTCTGCGCCGCTGCGAACAGCAGCAGCGCTGACAAGACCTGGCTGGCCTCGTCCGTCCCGAAGCCAGCGATCTTCCTGCTCACGATCCCGAGGTTCCTCATGCAGGCCTGCAGCGCCTCCTGCTCCAGCGGCTTCGTGCCTGCATCACTCGGGTTCTTCTTGCCGTCTACTCTCTCAACCTCGAACTGCTTCTCCCTCAGCGCCTGTTGGTGCCAAAGGTACCTGGTCTGTAGATGTCGTACACGTCCGCAGCCCACTCTGTGGATCATCCCGCGGGCCGCGTCTGAGTCCGTGCGAATGATCAACCTCACGTCTGCTGGAACACCAGCTCCAAGCTCAGCGATCTCGAGCATCACCTGCTTGACTGTGATGCCGCGTGCTGCCGCTGAGCCGATGGCGTAGAATTCCGACTCTGCGCTGCTGAGTGCAACAGCGCCCTGTGTGATGCTCCAGCTCTCGATGAGATGACCAGCACCAGGATCTCCGACCTGGATGGTCCCCGCCGACGTGCTCTTGCATGTCTGCACGTCGCCGCTCCAGTCGCCGTCGGAGTAGACCACCACGTCCGTCCACTTCTCCTGGTAGAGGAACTCGATCCCGATGTCATGCGTCCCCGCGAGGTAGCGTGCCAACCTCCTGAGTCGCATCATGCTCAAGCGCGTCGGATGTGCCATATCCGACGCCAGCTGCTTGGTGGCGAACTGGATGTCGAAGCGGTCTGGGCCGATGTACATGCAGATGCCCGTGCCCCTGCAGTAGATCGCCTTCTCGGCCCGCTTCAGCTCCTCCAGAGCATCCCTCGCGTTCTTGCCAGTCGCTCGGCTGACAGGCGTCGGGGAAGGCTTCACGTTCTTCAGGTCCAGCAACGTGCTCAGGTTCTCGAAGTGCTTCGGGTCAGGCAGCAGCATGAACCCCTTCGGGCTCCATAGTAGAAGCCGTCGTAGAACCAGGCCTTGCTCTTCAGCGGCTGGACCAACTCTCGGGAGGATCTTGGCCTTGAAGCTGCCCGTGATCATGGCATCCACCTTGTCCAGCTCGTGCGGCTCGCCCTCGGTGTAGAAGTCGTCCCCGTGGAAGCCTGACAGGCAGTCCCACTCGCTGTGGTACGCCAAGCAGGGGACCGTCGACAGGATGTTCCAGCCATGCTCTCGGTACGTGTCACGCACCAGATGCTGGAAGTCAGCGCTCGACTCACGCATCCCGTACAGCGCCTTACTCACCAGCCAGAGCCAGTCGGGGCAGTTCAGCTCCTTCGGAGGCTCGGCCCACACGGGCTCCTTCAGCTCAGCGTGGAAGAAGGCCACCGAGATGTCGTGGGCTGCGAGCTGCCTCGAGCTGCCTCTCGACGCCAGCCTCGAGATCACCAGCTTCAGCGCCCATGTCGGTGGTGTCCCCGCGTAGTGCTCTGGTGCAAAGACGCCTCCTGCGAAGTCGCGCGCGACGATCCGCGATCGCACACAGTCTGGACCCTTCCTGGTGTGAAAGAGCTTGGTGGAGATCACCCTCTCACCAGCTGGCTTCTCGCTGCGCTTCTTCCAGACCATCACCTCGAACTCGTCCATCTCGTCGAGCTCGCGCTTCACGCCCTGCAGCACCAGCTCCTTCGGCAGCACCTCGCCCGTGAACTGGTCGTGGAAGCTCCCCGCGAACAGCTCCCCGTCGAAGGTTGGAGGTGGGACCTCCTCCTCGCAGAGTGCTCCTAGAGTCATGGGTTCACTGACTGGGTCAGTGTCCATGGGCGCAGCGGGAACCACCTCGATCACTGGCCTCTTTCTTGCTGGTTCGGCTGCTTCAGCATCTCTCTCTCTCTTCGGTGCTGCGGCTGCTGGCAGTTGTAGTCCTGGAGGTGGACTTATCTCCTGCTGCGGTGCTGGAGCTGCCTGTTGTGGTACTGGCTTCGCAGCCTCGGCGCCTGCGGCACCCACAGCTGGCTGCAGCTGGATCGCCTGCTCAGCCTGCGCCTTGAAGATCTCCTCGAATCGAGCCCTGCACGCCACCGTGTGCACGCTGGACAGCCCCAGGCAAGCTGGGCAGTCTGGGCTCTCGCCGTGCTCCTGGATCAGGGCACGCGTGATGTATCTCCTCCTCGTACTCACCACCGGTGTCTCCGTCGTAGGCGCTCTCGGGTTCCAGGGCACACCGATGAACGTCCTGAACTCCTCCTGGACCCACCGCTCGCTGTCGTCACGCCTCTTGAACGTCCTGCTGAACTCGATCCCTCGCGCCGTGCCCACGATGACCTCATCACTCTCGTCCCTCCGCCCGAGGAACACTCCTGTGGCCCAGCGCGGGTCGAGCTTCGACTGGTCCTTGCGGATCAGCTTGAAGTCCACAGTCTCGCCCACACACGCCAGGGGCGACGCGAACTCCTTGCCCTTGATCGTCGCCCAAGCGCTCCTGCCGTCGCTCTTCGTAGCGAACCTCGTGAGGACGTAGGCCGCATGCCTGACCAGCCACGGCAGGATCACCGACTGACTCGTCACCTTGGTCTTGAACTTCTCCTCGATGACGGCCACGTACGTGCGGGTGAGTGACTCCACTCTGCGCACCACAGCCTCGATCATGCCGTTCGCCTTGCTGTCGTGCTTCGTGGACTTCTCGACTGTCGTGCGGTGATGCTCCACCCGACGTCGGCGTAGCTCGCCTAGCAGTGCTTGAATGGCGGGCTCCTGGTCCGCCCGCAGGACGACCTCTCCAACACCCCATGCCTCGAGGTGGAAGAGTACAAACTCCACTGCAACGTCGTCAACTCCCTTCTTCGGCACCTGCGTGGCTGCAACAGCGCCTGGATGCCTCAGCACGATGACCAGTATCGTCGCCTTCTGCAGCTCGCCCTCCCGCGCTAGGAAGCAGTAGTCCAGCGCGAGCTTCGCCACGGTCGAGACGGACTCCTGGCTCCTGTGCTGATCCTCAGTCGCCTGGCCCGTCAAGCAGTACTTGCACCAGGCACGGAATGGACAGTGAGTGACCTCATGCTTTGCCCTCTCGTCTGCGCTCGGCCAGACCGCTACCTTCTTGGCGGTCGCGCTCCTGGCCTCCTCGCTATCCTCGAGCTCCAGCTTGGGCCGTCCGCCAACATCCTTCGGCTCGTCGCTCTTCTCCGTCGTCGGGCACAGCTCACCAGTCGAGCACCGACGAGCTCTGATGACGAAGATGCCGTTCTTCCGCTTCAGCTCGATGGACTTGCCCTTGCCGATGTTGTCCTTCACGTGGCTCGCCAAGTCCTTCGCCTGCTCGGGCTTCACGATGTAGCTGCCTCCGTCGTACAGCCACACACCGTAGCCCGCATCAACTGCAGAACTCGCTGCCATGATCGGCTTGCGCACCCCCTTGGCCTCGAACTTCACCGTCAGCGGCTCGCCAGAGTTCTGATCCGTCATGCTCACCTCCTTCTTCCCGTAGTGCTTGAGCTCGTTGCCGTCGGCCTGGTAGAGCACCGTCCCACGGCACTCCTTGATGGCCACCTCAGGCGCCCACGAAGGTGGGCAGACGCTCCTTGCAGCACACGTGTCAAAGAGCAGGTCGAAGTCGGCGCCCTCGAGGGCGCAGCAGTAACCCGTCTCGCTCTCGTTGGAGTTCTCGCCCTCCATCAGCGCGAACACGAAGCCGTTCTGCTCGTCGTAGTAGTAGTCGTCGTCGGACAGGGCCGTCACCGCCGCTGTGTCGCCGTTGTCGTTCTCGAGGCGCTTGCCTGTGGTCTTGTCCACTGGCTTGCCTGCGTAGCGTCCCGACTTGTCTGGCTTGATGTCCTTACTTGCTCGGTCCTTCGCCAAGATCCTGCACTCCTGCTTCGTGTGGTTCGGCTTGGCGCAGTAGAAACAGACCTTCTGCTTGCTCTTACCCTTTCCGTCGTGGTTCTTTCCCTTGCCGTTCTTGTCCTTGCCTTTGCCCTTGCCGGCCTTGCCCCGTGTCATGGGGCACAGCTCTCCAGTCACAGGGTTCAGCTCCATGGGTACTGGCTCCTCCTCCTGGTTGGCCGTCGCGCGAAGGTATGAGATCACTTCGGCCTTCGCGGCTTCGTACGTCTGCAATCGGCCTACCTGGAGGTTGACGTGAGTCTTCAGGGGCCCGTCCAAGAGCTTGTTGGTCAAGGTCGCCAGCTTGATAGAGTCGGCCATCTGGTCACCAGACTGCTCCTCATAGGCCTTCAGCTGGCGCTCCCAGGTGTAGATGCTCTCCAACATGTCGGGGCCTCGCACGGGGTCGAGCAGCCTCTGTAGCATGCCCTGGAAGCGGCTCGGCAGCCTGGGCTCGAACTCGCGGCACAGCTGCCTCCAAGCCTCGACCCCCCAGCCCTCTGGGACGCGCTGCACCACCGATAGCGCTCTCCCACGACATGTGAGTGCCAGCACGTAGTAGATCTGCGACGAGAGCTTCTTATCATTCACGTCCATCATCACGTTGCTGATCTGCTGCTCGTCGTCGACCTTGTTAGCTGCATACCCCAGCGCGTCTCTGCACGTCGGGTCGAACGCTCCAGCGTAGGCCCTGAATGTGAACGACCACTGTGGCCATGCCAAACCTCCTTCTGGCTTGCCGTCCGCCGTCAGGTCACCTGAGAACAGCGGCGGCTTGCCCAGCGCCCTCGTGTCCACGAGAGAGCTCTCGCCCCGGCTAGGTTGCTGAGGCACGGCCGCGGCTCCTGCTGCAGCGGGCGCCGCGGTGCTCAGCTGGTCGATGACTCGTCTGGCCTCGGTGAGCTCGGCCGTCCTTTCTGCGATCTGCTGCTCCGCAGCCGTCAGCCTGGCCTCCATCGCTCGGAGGGCCTCCTCCATGGCCGCGGCGCAGTACGCTGTCACGGTGTCTGCGCTGACCCTCCGCTGTCACGGTGTCTGCGCTGACCCCTCTGCTCCTGAGGGGCTTGTGCAGCGCAGTGTACAGCAGCACGAGCAGCAGGCTCTGCGGTCAGGGGACCACGCTCCGCGCTACCATGCTGATATGGATGGATGGCATGTTCTTAAGCCCCAAACGGCTACAGTACATCAACTCACAATCAAGTGCATGTTGCATGGATGTCCGCAAGTCCCCACCAGTTCGGTCCCCCCGGCAGCCTCCAATTCTGGGCCAGGGCCCTCGCAGAGCCCTGGGGCCGTCAGGAATCGACGCGGGATGGAGAGCTGGCCCCGGGGAATGGGGCGAGACTTCCGGGGATCCACGTCCTGAAAAATGCACGGCGTCGGGGGGCCGGGGAGGGCCCTCGGCCCTCGGCGGCGATCGGTGGCGCAAGCAGTGTAGCGGAGGTCGGCGTCGCCACCGCCACCGCCCCTGAGGTCCCGGCGCCGCCTCTTGTTTGTTCACACCCGGCGAGTTCGCCCCCTGTGTGGGGCCCCCAGGCCCTCGCGGCAGCTCGAAGAATGCCGCAGGCAGATGGGGTCCAGGGCTCCAGTCGTGATTTCCCACGGCGAGGACATGGGATACGGAGCCATTGGATAAGGAATCCAGGGTCTGGAAACCAGTGGAACTCCGATCGCGAATTGGCCACGGATATCGCCGCCGCCCTGATCAGAGTTGGAATCCTTCAGTGTCTGAAGCCTCCTGGGCAAATTCCTTAACCAACGCCCCCATCGTTCGACATTTCATCGGTTCGTGACGTCGGACCTCAGAGGCCGCCGCCGCCGACGTCGGTGGGCGAATTGGCGGGAGAGCGCGAGAGGGCGCTGGAGAATTGGCGCGGGAGAGTCGGCGCGAGAGCGCGAGCAAGCACTTATCGTCGCGCCTCGCGCGGGGCGAGGGAGCGCGAAGCTGGGCGGCCCAGATCCTGACGACGACGACGACAACGACGACGACGACGACGACGACGACGACGACCACCACGACCACGACGACCACGACCACGACGACGACCACGACCACGACGACGACCACGACCACGACCACGACGACGACCACGACGACGACGACGACGACGACGACGATGACGACGACGACGACGATGACGACGACCACCACCACCACCACCACGACGACGACGACGACGACGACGACGACGACGACGACGATGCTGCTTCATTGCGCCTGCCGTACTTTTTTTTGCACGTGCGACATCTGCGCCTGCCGCTCTCGGCCACCCACCTCGCGCGCGTCAGCTGCTCTGCGTGCCCTCTGACGTTTCTGCTCCGTCGTAAAGGCGGAGCCCGCCCTCTTTCCCCCTTTACTTGTGGACCCCGTCTCTTCCTCTTCCATCCCCTCTCCTTCCCACGAGGGGGGGGTAAGGGCCATCAGCTGTTTGGCAACTCCCCTCCCTCCCCCTTCGCTGCCGGTGGGCGGAGCGGCCAGAGTGGAGCTGGTATGTCCGTGGTCGAAAATTGACCTAATCCAGCAGGGTCCCCCACAGTTCCGCTTTAACCTGGCATACTTTGGCTTCATATGGTGTTCAGTCTGGGCTAATCCAGCCTATTGGCCCCTTTACGGGAGGTTCATACGGCGTTGGCGCGCCAGCGACGCCTGCGAAGGCGTTCTAGGTTGAATTCTGCGACGCGGAAGCACCGATGGACACGGTAACGCCAGTGGACCCGATTGAATTCAACCTTGAGCGATCGGGACCGCGATCGGTTCGAGGTTGAACGATCGAGGCGGTGTCACAAAGCATTGCGCGCGCCGACGCCTTTCGACCCCTCTGATCGGGCCAGATAGCTGTTCATATTTTCGGTGAAGACCTCCCAGCAGCTGCCTCCAAACCACCGTGGGGCGGTGCGCTTCGCCCCTCCGGGGGCGCCCGCGGGAGAGAGGCGGGCGGTCGAGGGAGGGCTCGGGGCCCAGGCCCCCAACGCCGTGTCTCTCTGCAGAGCTACTGGCCCCCGGAGGTCTCGACCCATCCCAGAGAGGAGGTTTCTCGCCGCTTTCGGCCTCTGGACCGTCAAGGAACGATTCGGCCCAGCCCAGAGAGGAGGCCCTCGCCAGGCCCCTGGGCCGTCAAATTATTCGGGGTGAAAAACTAACCCCGGGGAATGAATGGGTCGGTACTTCCGGGGGCCCCGGACCGAAGAAATCACGACATCGGATCTCTGAAATTCCATGGGGCTGGCTTCTCGTCCCGAATCGCCTTGGTGACGGTCCCGGGGCCCCGCGGGGGCCCCCCGAGGCCAGAGTTGGGAGGAGACGCCCGCCGCCGTGGTTCTTGCTACGGCGCGGGGGGGTCTGCCGGGGAGGGAAGGACGGCGGGGGCGAGGGCGGCGGGGTGGTAGAGGCGGCGTCCCCTTGGCTCCTGTGCCCCGCCTGGGCTTGTCTTCCTTGCTTCCCTGCCCAGCATATCCCCCCCACCCCCTTGCTCCGTCTTCCCCTCCAAGTGCACCTCGCTCTCGCCAGCGACACACTTCAGGTCTTCGACGATATGTACGGCTTGCTCAATCCGAGCGGTTTTCCTCATTTTCGGCCTCTGGGCCCGTGATCGGGTCCAGGAAATATCAGACATGGACATGGGACGGAAAACTAGCCTCGGGGAAGCGGTTTGGGCTCGCGCTGGGCCTCCTTAACCACACCCCTGTGCGGCGCCTCGCCACTGGCGCGCTACGTGCGCAGGAGAATCGGTGCGTGGGGAGCGGGGCCGTCTTCCTTCTTTGCTCGCAACGTGGACGCCCAGAGATCTCGACCCATTCCCCCGGGACCTGCTCATCCTGAATCCTTGCTTGACAGCCCTGGACAGAAGTGTTGCCAAGACGTTTGGTTGTCTGGGCCCTCCTGCTGACAAAGGTGGCGGCGACGACGACAACGACGGCGATGGCGGGGGCAGCCCCTGCGCGCGCCACGACCCCAGGCGCAGAGAGCCCCATCCGCGCCAGCGACGGCCCCCCCGACGCAGGCGCCCACCGGCGGCCCACTGGCGGCCCACCAGCAGCACACGGGCGGCCCTCGGCGGCCCGGGCAGGGGTGCGGAGGTCGTCCTCGGCTCAGCAGAGGTTCTCATCCCACGATCCCGCCAAACATCCTTGGCAGAGCCCACAGGCTGGAGGAGCCACCCACCCACACCCCGCGGCAAGCCTCCCTACGACCAGCAGGAAGCCCAACGGCTTAGCCGCTGGTAGACAGCAGCGAGAGCTCCTCTCATCCCGCGTTCCCGCTCAATCAGGCCCAGAGGCGGAGGCGGGCGTGGGCTGTGGGCGGAGGCAAGGGGAGGATCAGGAGGAGGAAGAGGAAGAGGGAGGGGGGAAGGTGGAAAGCAGAGGAGGAGGAGGAGGAGGAGGAGGAGGAGGAGGAGAGACAAGGCGAGGGGACAGTGAGGATGATGAGGAGGACCAGAGTTAACCCTAGATGCATCAGGTGTGTTGCAACACCCCCTCACGTCCCCAGGGCCCCCTCCTCACGCGTCCAGACAGTTTGTCTCAGTGCGCGAAGCGCCCCCGTGGGAGACGAGCGCCCCGTGGGCCCGCAGTGAAGGCGGGAGCTCCATGTAGGAACCGCCCTCCGTCCTTCGAGCTGCGGGGTGCGTCAGGGTGGAGCCATGAAGTCCAAGGAGGGGTTCGGCGACAGCCCCACGTCGGCGAGGGACTGCCCTCGATCAGTGAAACGGCTGCACCATGTCAGACTCCTGGGCATGAGATGCAGCGAAGTCTCAAGCCAGAGCCCCCTCTTGAAAAGAACTCGCCCTGCACCCGCGGAACTGCTGCACACACACACACACACACACACACACACACACACACTTACAAGTATGGAATATGGTAATACGTTGGGAGGAGGTCTCGCTCGCGAGTCCCAGTTTGAAAAGTGTGCGCCCTCTATCCGCGTCACTGCTGGAAGTGTTTAGGACGAGCGTATACGTCACCAACGCGAGAGCTCCATGTTGAAAACGGTGCTTCAAGATCGTACACGGTGAGGACGCCTCGGGCAAAACACTCGGCCCGCCCTGGCGACATGCCTGGTGGTGCGACAGGGACAAGCGTGTTATAAGGAAGGGAGAATGGGAGAGGCGGACGAGGAGGAGGAGGAGGAGGAGGAGGAGGAGGAGGAGGAGGAGGAGGAGAGGAGAGGAGAGGAGAGGAGGGCTGTGGAGGAGGAGGAGGAGAAATGAGGCGGCGAATAAGAAGAAGGGGAGGGAGAGGGAAAGAGACGGATGAGTGGAAGGAGACGACCACATTTTCAGGCGCAGTCAAGTCCATGGGGCACTGGTTTCGAAGCGCTGGCAGGCCAGCCATGCTATTGTTCAGGATGCGCCTAACCACCAGAAACCTCCTCCTTCCCTGTCCTCCCTCCCCTCCGTCTACATTCTTTCCAAAATTACCGAAACGCCCAAAAGTTGCAACCCCGATCCTCGAACCCCCCTCCCCCCTCCCAGCCGAGCTCCCCCTCCATCCGGTGTTGCCAGAAGTGTCCCTGGCCCAAGGTGCCCCCAGGATTTCCAGGGAGGCCCCCACGCCCTCCACAGCACCTCTCACGAGGCCCAGAGGGGCTCATGGGGCTCCAGAATGGGGAGAACAGCGGGGCCTAGGGGCACCTTTAGCAACACCCGACTCCAGAACAGCCCGCGCGACCAGGGCGCGTACGCAGATTTGAACGCGCCGCAACTGCACCGGATTCGATGTTGGCTGGCGTTTCGGCGAGGTGCAGGGTTGAGGCCAGCCGAGCGACCGACGAGCTTCGGTGTGACTTTTCAGAGCTAAGACAGCAGCTCGGGCGCCACAGGGAAGCGTCCCGGCAGGTACCCCCCGGCGCCCCAGGGAAGCGTCCTGGCAGGTACCGTTGAGCTGCCCAGGGAAGCGTTCTGGCAGTTACTTTCGGGCTCCCCAGGGAGGCGCCCTGGCAGGTACCTTCGGGCGCCACAGGGAAGCGTCCTGGCAGGCACATTCGGGCGCCACAAGGAAACGTCCTGGAAGGCACTTCGGGCGCCACAGGAAAGCGGCCTGGCAGGTACCTCGGGGCGCCCGAGGGACGCGCCAGGGGCGATAACAAAAATCAAGAGAAACTGTCCAGGATGCTGTGCACCAGCAGCCCCCACCTCCCCTCCGACCCTGACCTTCCAGACTGCTACAACATGGCCCTTCAGACTCATAGAGCCATCAGGACTGCTCGAAGCCTCGACTACAACTTAAACTAACCAGCCGTGGTGATATTTGTTGCACTCCCAGAAGGTCAGGGTGCCCGCCGCCCCCCTGGCAGGTGCTGGCGGAGACCGCCGCTACGGGCGGCAGGCCCCGCGCGCCACTCTGCGCGCGCGCGCGAAGGGGCGCCGGGTGCGGCAGAACCGGACCGCCCAATGGACCAGTGGACCCAGACCCCCTCGCGCCGCGAAAAAAATACGGCGGGAGGTTTGTTCCTATGTTCTGCCTCTGGAGGTTTTCGCTTCCCCCAGGCCCCAGGGCCGTCAAAAAACAGCCCAGGATGAGAAGCCGGTCTTGGGGAATGGGGCGAGACTTCTGGGAGTCAACGGTTTGAAACAATCATGGCGTCGGGGGTCTGGGAAGGCAGGAGCGGGAGTGAGGCAGAGAGAGACAGACCTCCCGCGGACTGGTTTCTCAAATCTCCGCGCTGCGCTCCATTTCCAGCCAATGGAATGGGGACAACTTTCAGGCCCGTGGGGCCACCAGAAACAGACCCGGACCCCCGTTGAAGGAGTCGGGACTTCTTTGGCCCGCGAATTGAACAAACCGCTTCGTCGGGTGTGTGGGGGGAATGGGAAGTATCTACATGTTTGGGCATTTTGACCTTGATCTGGGCTTCGGGTGCGTCTGGGGGGACCCGGAGATCTGTCGAGGACCCGCCGACATCGAGGTTTTTTGTTCGCGCCCTCCGTTTTGATTTTCTGTCGACCTGGACCACCAGAAAGCGGCCCACGATGAAAAATGTGGCCCGGCTGGCGGGTCGCGAGCTCTGGGGCCCACGAGTTGGGCCAGACACCTTCCATCACGAGAGAAGATCGAGGCGGCCAGCGTTTTGTCTTTGGTCTCGGCCCTTTGGGAGGCCTGCTCTGGCTCCCAGGACCGTCAAGCGGCGCATCGTGGGGCGAAAAGCTTGGTCCCCAGGATGAGGTCGAGGAGTCTGCAAAGCCGTCTTGAGAGAAGACCTTAAACAGTTTGACATAGTTCACAACGGGGGGCCACGATGGGGGGCCTGCGAGGCAACGACGGTGGGCCAAGGCTGGGGGGCCACGATGGGCAATGATGTCAGGAGCCCCCCTCACCAGGCGTGAGAAGAATTATCCAGCTGTCTGCGGAAAAGCCCGCCAACGCCCTTGCGCAACAGCGTAGCAGGAAGGAGCTTGAACTCTGAACGGTTCGCGCATACGCACAGGCCGTTCCAGGAACGATGCCCAGGGGAGCTGCCCTTACCTGGGGGAGCGTGGCATCATAAGGAGAGCTCGGGGAGCCTCCGTAGGCCAGAGGCTTCTCGGATGTCTCTTGGAGTACATTGGGATGTTTCTCGGGGTCTATTGGCAGCCTCTTGGTGCGTCTTGGGGGCCTCCTGGCGGCTCTTAGGGGCCTCTTGGGTTGGGCGCCTTGGGAGCCTCTTAGTCGCCTTTTGGGACGTCTTGGAGGCCTCGTGGCGGTCTTCAGAGCCTCTTGCGGCGTCTTGGGTGCCTCTTGGAGGCATCTTGCGGCCTCTTGGGGGGCTCTTGGGGGCCTCGTCAGAGCCACTTGGGCCGACTTGGGGCCCTCTTGGGAGCCTCTCAGGGACCTCTTAGGCTGCCTTGGAAATAGATTGGAGGCATCTTGGGCCATCTTGGGCGGTCGCAAACCCAAACAGGCGGAATCCCCAAAACCGTGCAAGAGCATAAGGAAGATCAACCATCGCAGACCCCAAATAGGTCAGAAGATTGAAATGCTCTACCTTGTCGTCGCTCCCTACTGCAATATATATATATATATATATATATATATATATACATATACATACATACATATACATATATACATACATACATACATACATACATACATACATACATACAGATATACATACATACATACATACATTATACATCTACATAGCTATATATATATATATATATATATCGATATATATAGATATTCCCATTCCGCTACCAAAACTGGCCCATAGTGGCCGGGCCTGGTGGGCCCCATCCTACCTGTCAACAAGCAAACAACATCCATGTATTTCGTTTTTGCATGGACTATACGTCGTCCATGCGCGGCGGGAACGGGACGGGGCACACATCCTGCACGAAAGGCTGAAACAACGCTCTCGCCCCGGCGCCGCGCTCACGGTTCTTGAGAGTTGAGCTCCCGCTGGGGCGCGGCGCACAGTTTTGGCACGCAACGTCGTCCACGCGCGAGCGGACGAAAATGTCGTTCTCGCCCCGGCGCCGCGCTGATTTCGCCTGATAGTGGCGTTCCCGCTTGGACGCGGGCGCATACTTTTCACTCTCCAATTTTAGCGGATCCGCGCGAGCGGGCGACTTGTTGCACTCGCTCAAGTTCCGTTGGTTCCGTGCGCATTTCGCTCGGAAGTGGCGTTCCAGCGCGGGCGCGGCGCATGGCTCATTCGTTTAAGCGCATGAAGCCGACAGCGGCGGCGGAGCCGCGCGAGAGCGAACGAAATACCGACCTCGCCCGAGCGCCGCACAGGTTGTGAGTGACAGTGACAGTGCTGCGTCGGCGCGGCCATTGCTTCGTCTCCGTGGCGCCCATCGAAAGTTTTGCCGCCCTCGCCTTTGCGCGGCCCGTGTAACGTTGTCTTCGCCAAGTCGTCGGAGGCGGGGTCGCGCGCGAGCGCCTTCTGTTTGCGAGTTTGCCGATTTCTGCGCTGACCAGTTCATTGATTATCGCATCAACCTGGTGGGCGGCCCTCGCGCCGACCGTCTCACCGACGCCACCACCAACGCCTGCGCCTACGCCAGCACCAACGCCAGCATCGACGCCAGCGCCAATGCTCAGGCCTACGCCTACACCAACGACAGGGCCTGTGCAACCGTTGACACCAGCACAGGCGACAGCACCAACTCCGGCGCCTACGCAGGCATGAACGCTAGTGCCTCCACCATCACCAGCGCCAGCATTGACGCCAACACCAACACCAACACCGACGGCAGTACCAAAGCCGACGCCTCCGCTGGCATGATTGCAAGAGCCCCCACCAGCACTAGCACCAGCATCAGCATCAACGCCAGCACCATCACCCAGGCCCACGCCTGCGCCAACGCCAGCGCCTGCGCCATCGCCGACGCCAGCACCGACGACAGCACCAACGACGGCGCCTGCGCCGGCATGAACGCCAGCGCCTCCAACAGCACCAACGTGTGGAGTTACGTCACGTTTTGGGGTGGGCCGCTTCCGCGAGCCTCTCTGTTGGACTTGTGGTGCAGATGACGGCGAGGCTACAGCTTTGGGCGCGATGTGCAGGCTAGCTCCGACCCACGGAGAAAATAAATCGCACCCGATTTGCAGCACCACGTATGTTGGGAAGCAAGGATGCCGCCACACAGTCAAAAACAAGGATGCCTCCGCACAGTCCATATGCCAAATGATTATGAGGACACGCTCTGGGCCCAATGATGCCGCCACACAGTCAACATGCCCAGCACTTATGAGAACATGTTCGGGGCTCACGCGGACCTCTCCACAAGCGCATGCGTCAACGCCAGCACCATCGCCCAGGCCTACGCCTGCACCAACGCCAGCGCCTGCGCCATTATCGACGCCAGCGCGGGCGACAGCACCAACGACGGCTTCAAATTACTGCTGCCTCCTCCCGTACTTGCTGCGGCCATGGTGCGCAGACCATGCAAGGCCGCACAAACGGGACCAAGACCGCACAAACGGAGCCAACACGCTTGAGCCATCAACCTGGAGCCAGCACCAACGCCAGAGCCTACGCCACCGTCGTCACCAGCACCGTCATCGCTGGCGCCTGCGCCAGCATCGACGCCCACGACGCCACCGAGATCAGCATCGGCGCTGACAGCTGTCACCTACGCCGCCTACACTACCCCGACGCCGGCACTGACGCCAGCAGCTATGCCTACGCACTCGCCAGCACCACCGCCAGCGCCTTCAGCAACGCCGCGGCTAGCAATTACGCCAGCACGAACGATGGGGCATGCGCCTACCTATACCTTCACCGAGGGGCTGGCCGTGGTTCTCGAGTACTCGATGTTCTGAAGGCTTCCTGAGCGCGTGTGGATAGTTTCCCTCTCTCTCGGCTCCTCCTCCTCCTTCTCCTCCTCCTCCCCCTCGACCCCCCCCTCCTCCTCCTCCTGGGGCCGGTCCATTGTCCATGCTTGAATTCGATGTGTTTTCGTTGCAAGTGGGCTTCGGGCCCATTTCGGAGCGCCCGCCCGCTCAGATGCCTCTGCCCCTCCTTTCCGCGGGGGTGGACGCCTCTAGTGGCCTCGGTGCGCCGCGGAAGATTTACTCACACCCATTGTCTTTAGTTCCCCTTGTCTTCGTCTGCCTTTGTCTGTACTGCTCGAGTTTGGTAGCCCGCCAGTGGAGCCAATGGCTGTGAGTGCGACACGCCGGCGTCCACCCAGCAACGGTGCTGCCTGGGTTGATTGCTTCGGCTGGTTGCCCATTCGCTTTCTTATTTTCTCCTCTTTCCCTTTCGCTCTCTCTCTCTCCTGCCTCCTAGCTGCGGCCCAATGTAGGCCCTTTCCTCATCTGAGTTTCGGGTTGACCCTGTAGGGTAATCCACAGGTGTCGCCGCAGCACTTCTTTAGTATGATAGCCGCCGCCTCGCGCCTTCTCGTGGCTTCCTCCGCCGATAGGTTTCTGGCATGGGCCAGCTGCCGCGGGAAGCGTGTAGATCGCTCACCGTCCGTGGCCCACGGAACCCGCAAGCCACCAGAGAACTCCTCAGGGGCCAAAAAAAGTTTGCGAGGAGGGAGCACGGTACAATCAAAATACCAAGCTGTGCCACAATTCGTTCTTATGTTACGGGAGGGAGGATGGTAATAGGCGGGGCCCTCTGACTCGCTTGATTTGGCCAGGTTGACCCTACCCGCCCCTTATTATAATCCGATTCGACTATATTCTAGTAGATTCGACTTGGCTCTAGTCGACTCATTGTACCCTACGATACTTCATTCTGCTCTGCGCCACGATCTGATGCCCGATTATGTCATATCATATTCCGTAGTCGTCCCTACCGTCACTTACTCTGGTCGAATCGGTTATACTCAATTATTGTCTTCTTCTATCTTGTTATAGTCCTGCTCGGCCCTACTCTAAGATAAGCTTTTCTGTTATACGCTCTTCAGATCTCATTCTAGTAGACCCCGACGCCTCTATTACACCGTCGACGTTACCGTAGTATGTTATATTATGCCCCGTCCGATCTGCAGTCGAATTGCATTCCAACCTAGTCTAGTATACCCGATGTTGAATCAGCATGTATTCTTTTATTGCAATATACACCCATTCTGCCGCAAAACTAACAGATCGGGGCCCACAGAACAAATCAACATCCATGTGTTTCGTTTCAACATCGACATTGCGTCGCCCATGTTGCGGAGTACGAAGCTGGAGCGGGACGGGGCGCACATCCCGAGCGAAGGGCCGACATGTCCCTCTCGCCCCAGCGCCGCATTCACTTTCTTAGAGAATTGAGCTCCCGCTAGGGCGCGGCGCACATGGTTCGCGCGTCACTTCGTCGACGCACGAACCGGCCAAAATTTTGTTCTCGCCCCGGCGCCACGCAGATTTCGCGTGAAAGTGACGTTCCAGCTTCGGCGCGGCGCATATGCTTCACTCGCCAGTTTTTGGGGGCCCGCGCAAGCGGGCAACTTGTGGCCATCGCCCAAGTTCCCCGCGCATTTCGCTCGGAAGTGGCGTTCCCTCGCGGGCGCGGCTCATTGCTCGCTCGCCTGATCAAATGGAAACGACACCAGCGACAGGGCCGCGCGAGAGCGAGCGAAATGCCGACCTCGCCCGAACGCCGCGTGGGTTGTGAGTGACAGTGGCAGTGCCGTGTCGGCGCGACGCATGTTTCGTCCTCGCCGCGCCCATCGGAAGCGTTGCCGCCCCCGCCCATGCGTTGCCCGCATGTGTTCGTTTCGCCAAGTCGTTTGACGCGGGGTCGCGCGCGGGCGCCTTTCGTTTGCAACGTGGGGGCACGTTCCAATCCCAATACCAAGTTGTGCCACAGTTGTTTATCATGTTGCAGGAGGGAGGATGGAATTAGACGAAGCCATCTGACTCGCTCGGCCTGGCTAACTTGATCGCTTACCATACTCGTACCCTGCTCTACTCGACCCGAATTTACTCTACCCGACCGAAGCCTACTCTACTCGACTCTATTCGAATACGCCCTGCTCTATTCTATTTTACCCTACCATCTACCCTACTCTACTCTACTCAACTTTACTCCGCTCTATTAGATCTTACTCTACCTCTGAGTTCGGCGACTGGTGGAAGATTGTGGGGACGTCATTAGAAGAGCTATGCAGATTGGAGGAAGCCATGAGGATAGAAGGGAGTTATGCGGATAGAAGGAAGCCCTGCGGATGGGCGGAAGCCATGCGGATAAGAGTAAACCCATGCGGATAGGAGGAACGTATTCATACTGGAGGAAGTTAGCAGAGGAAACCATGCGGATAGGATGAAGCCATGCGGATAGTTGGCGATTGCGCGGGCAAAATAAGGGGGTCAGTGGACAAGTGCTCGATGGATTAAGCTAGGACACCTCTAGGCAAGCCGACTTGGAGAAAATCAATGGTTGTTGCTTCCTCGGGCTCTCTTGGAGCCCTCTTGGAGTGGGCTGCCTTGAGGCCGTCTTGAGAACCTTTTGAGCGGTCTTGGGCCACCTTGGGCAGTCTTGGTGTCATCTAGGCTGTTTTGACAGCCGTCTCGGAGGCCATCCTGGCCTTCTGGAGGCCGAAGAACCGCCAGAGAGCAACCTCATGTGGGCCGGTTTTTTGGAATGCGTGCGTCGAGGGGGGGGGCCTAGAAAACACAAAACAAGCAGGCAGGGTGGGGGATATCTACAATGACAGACAAGTTGTTCAAGCTACTTAGTGAATCAGGACATCGGAAGTACGGGGGTGAGAAGCAGGAGCAGGCAGAGAGGGAGGGCGGGCACGCGCGCGCCGCGGCTTCTCCAGCAGCTGGATGTGTTGCACCATGTCCGAAGGCGTCTTGATGCAGGAGCCTCGGCTTGCGTGTCCGGTAGTGGTCCTGTGCCCGAGTCCGAGGTGATCGCGGTGGACATGGGGTTTCAAGCGGGTGGTCGGAGTGTTAGATGCACCCGTCAGGGATCCGATTTGTGTGATGGGAAAGCAAGAGAGTCGTAAGAATCGAAAGAGAGAGAGAGAGGGGGAGAGAGATAGAGAGGGAAGTCACCCGCGGGGGCCCAAGAAGGGAGGCCCGAACCGGGGAGTCTCCAGGAGGGCGGCGCACGAGCGCGAAAGAGGCGGAGAAAAGGAGGAGGAGGAACAGGCTTTGTTGTTGTCTTACTGCCTGGCGAGCGCATAACTACTCTAAGGTACTCTTCTTTTGTTCGTATCTCTTTGCCCGCTGCGCCCTTCAGGTTAATTCGTTTTACGCTCCGCGAAGTCGGCGGTTGTTTCTTGCATTAGAACGCGGCAAGCATGCGCTTCACGTCGGGGCAACGTTAAAAAGGAGGAGGAGGAGGAAGAGGAGGATACGTGCATGAGGGTTCGCTCAGCCTGTCGCTCCGCCAGTCCTGGCCCACCGCGCTTCGACGCGACTCGCTAACCACGCCCGGGTCCCCAGGCCTTAACTTCCCAAGCTTTTCTTGGCCTCCCACCCCGGGCGGAGCGTAGCGACACGCTGCCAGCCCGCAGGGCACAGCGTGTCGCCGGGGCCGCCGCAGCGTCACATTGAGCGAGAGTTCCTGACTGCATCTGATCTTGGCTGCTCTGGTTTGTGGCCGGACGTGTTTTCAGGGGGGGCGCGAGACCAGATCTCTGGCGTCGTGATTTGTTTTGTCCGCCGGCCACCAGGAGTCTCGACCCCTTCCGCACAGACTGGTCTCTCATCCGGGCCGTTTCTGACAGCTCCGGCGGGGCCCACGGCCCGCGCGGCGGAGCCAGAAAGCGAGAGGGAAACCGTCTTGGGATTGAGAAAAAATAGTCCGCCATAAGTTTGGAAAGCGCGAAGGGGGGAGGAGGGCAGCGGCGGACGGTCAGACGGACGGACGGACGGACGGACGGACGGACGGACGGACGACGACGACGACGACTACGACGACGACGAGGGCGACGACGACGACGACGGGCGACGACGACGACGACGACGACGACGACGACGACGACGACGACGACGACGACGACGACGACACGGGCGACGGGCGACGACGACGACGACGGGCGACGGGCGACGGGCGACGGGCGACGGGCGACGGGCAACGGCGACGACCGCGACGGCGACTTCGACGGCGACGGGCGACGACGACGGCGGTGGCCGTCGCCGCCACTGCGGCCGGCAGCCGCCGGCCAGGCGCTCTTGGTCGCGAGGCCGAGGCCAGGAAAGCGGCCGCCAGGCGCGCGCGCGCGCGTCGTGCGTCGTGTTTGTGCCGCCGCCGCTTGCCGCCGCCGCTGGTGCCGGCGTCGTGGCCGTCGTCGTGGTCGTCGTCGGCTGCTGCGCTCTGGTCACACAGGGCGCTTCAAAGAGAGCTCCTGGACCTCCAGCGCCCTGGACTGAGCGCGACGGCCGGCTTGTCCAAGTCTGGGGCACATGGAGGCCCGCTCTGGGCCTCAGAGCCCTCCGAAGAGGGTCCGGGAGAAGAAGTTGGTTCTGAGGATGGGGTCGAAAAGTCTGGGGGCCTCTGTCACAGAGCATCTTGACTTCGGAGGTCTAAGAGCGCCGCCGCCGGCGTCGCCGTTGGCGTCGTCGTTGGTTGCTGCGCTCTGGCCACACGGGGCGGTCCAGGGCGGGCCCCCAGGTCTCTGGCATGCCTGGAGGATCACCACGTCCAGTTCTTCCTGCGGTTGGGCCTCTGGGGGCAGTCTTCTGGCCCCAGGGCCCTAAAACCACGAGTCCGCGACGAGCAGCCGCCCCTGGGGATGGAATCTGGAAGTCTTCGGGTACGGGTCGTGAGAAAAGTAAGAGCATGCCGTCGGAGCTCCGCGTGGGCGTTCCAAAGATAAGGGCCTCGCCTTCGACCGTGGCCAGCTTTGCTCAAGCACTCCCAGCTGCAGTTTTGCATTTCTGGCCGATCGATTGGGACATGGTATATGCCAGGAGTTTGGGCGTCATTGCATGTTGCAGCGGCATGCTGATCACATCGATGTATTCGGTTGTGCCTTTCTTTGTCTTGCAGGTCGGTATAACACAGGATCGTCAGGCAATCGGATTTTGGTCTGGATTTGTTGTTGCCGCCTTCTACCTGTCCAGGACGTTGGCAGCTCCGGTTTGGGGCAAATTCGCCGATCGAACATGCAAGAAAACTGCGATTCGCCTTTCGTTGGTGCTGACGGCTTGCTTTACGGGGCTCAGTGGCCTGACGCGATCGCTGGAAGGCCTCAGCGTCCTGCGAATATGCACAGGGGCGTGCAGCACCGTGCACGCAGTATGTTCGGCAATGGCTTATGAGTATGCGGGAAAGCGGGGCACCGCCCTTGTAGAATCGGGCTGGTCTGCAGCTAAATTGATCGGTCCGGGCGTAGCGGGCTCATTATTGGCGCTGTCCCAGGGAGGTGGGTGGAATGATAGTTTCCCGATTATGATGCCATGCCTTGCACTAGCAGCAACGCAGCTCCTTATGTTGCTGCTGGTGCCCCCCAACAAAGGCGAAGCCGCGGAAATCATGCTGGCGAAGGGAAATCGTGAGGATGCAGGAGGGCAGGTTGAATCCGATGGGCCCTTTGTGGGCCGCCAAAGTGTCAGCCGAGGCTTAATTCTTAGCGCTGGCGTGGTGTTTGTGAACATGATCATGGAGGAGGTGCTTATCGAAGACGCCTACGGCGAATCACCGCCGCCCCCTGCATTTTCGGAAGCGCCTATGTGGCCGAACGTTGAGGCCAGACCTGCCAAGCTATCGGACCATGTGTTCCCCGAATCGGTTTGGAGCGCCTTCGGGGAACACGTGGGCATCTTGAAGGTCATCTCGGCCGTCTGGAGGCTATTTTGACCCTTTCGGGCCTTCTTGGAGGACGTTTTGGAGGTCTCGTGGGCCGTCTTGGAGGCCCTCTTGAGCGTCTTGGAGACCTCTTGGGCCGTCTTGGGGGCCTCTTGGGGCCGTGTTTTGGGCCGCTTGGGCGTCTTCGGACCGTCGGAAGGCAGAAAAAAAAGCAGATGCCACAATCCTTCAAAAAACATTGGAAATCAATGATTTTGGCCTTTTCGGGCCTTCCTGGAGGCCCTCTTAGGGGCCTCTTGGGCCGTCTTGGGCCATCTTAGGGCCATGTTCGGCCGTCTTGGTGGGCTCCTGGTCCGTCTGACGCCGTCGGAGGCCGTTTGGGGGGCCTCTATGGGCCGACTTGGGGCCGTCTTGGAATGCTCCAGGGCCGTCTTGGAGGCCATCTTGGGCGTCTTAAAGGCCTCCTGTGCCGTCTTGGGGGCCTTTCTGGGGCCCTCTTGGGCCTTTCTGGGGCCATCTTGGAGGCCTCTTGGGCGATCTTTTCGAGCCTTTTGGGGCCTTTTGGTGGGTTCCTGGCACGTCTGACGCCGTCGGGAGCCGTCTTGGGGGCCTTTCTGGGCCGACTTGGGGCCCTCTTAGGGCGCTTCGGGGCCGTCTTGGAGGTCATCTTGGGCGTCTTGGAGGCCATCTTGGGCGTGTTGGAGGCCTCTTGGGCAGTCTTGGGGCCGTCTTCGAGGTCATCTTGGAGGCCTCTTGGGCGATCTTGGGAGCCTCTTGGGCCGTCTTGGGCCGTCGGAAAGCCGAAGAGGCGCAAATGCCAGAATCCTTCAAAAACCTAAGGAAAATCAATGATTGTGGCCTCGTCGGGCCTTCCTGGAGGACCTCTTGGAGACCTCTTGGGCCGTCTTGGAGGCCTCTTGCCGGCCTTTTGGGCCGTCTTGGACCATCTTGAGGCCATCTTGGGCCGTCTTGGGTGCATCTTGGAGCCATCTTAGCCGTCTTTGAGGCCATCTTGGCCGTCTTGGAGCAACTTGGAGGCCATCCTGGGACATCTTGGCCGTCTTGGAGGCCATTCGACGAGAGGTAGGTTTTCCGGGTGACGGCGGGACGGGCCGAAGCCCCAGGGGGAGTTCTTTTGGAAAAAGAACCAAAACCAAAGCCATATCGTTTGGCACGCCAGGCACCCCTTTGATAAATCAAAAGGGGGCGGCGGATCGAATGACCTTCGGCCCATCCCGCCACCGTGCCAGGGTTGTGGGTCAGAGTTCTCGGGGATCCTTCTTGGGGTCTCTTCAAAGCGCCTTTGGGTGTCTCTTGGGGGCAGTTTTGGGGCCTCTTGGGGGCCTCTTGGGAGCCTCTTGGTGGCCTTGGGGCCTCTTGGTGGCCTGTTGCGGCCTCTCGGGGCCTCTTGGGGCCTCCTGGGGGCCCCTCGGGGCCGAGGGTTCGAAATGTCCGATCGGGCTCACCATATGGAACCCCTCTTGGAGCCGTCTTGGGGCTCTCTTGGGCCGTCTTGGGCGCATCTTGGGGCTCTCTTGGGCCGTCTCGGGGCCCTCTTGGGAGCCTCTGGGGCCGTCTTGGGACGATCTTGGGGCTCTCCTGGGCAGTCCTGGAGCGTCGGGAAGCCGAAAGGCGAGAAGGCCAAGATCTTTCAAAAACCGTTAGAAACCCAATGATTTGTGCCTCTTGGGGCCCTCTTGGGAGCCCCTTGGGGCGTTTCGGAGACATCTGGGGCCGTCTAAAGGCCCTCTTGGCGATCTTGAAGCGATCGTTCGGGGATTCGAGGCTCTATTGGACCGTGTTCCGGGCCTCTTGAGGCCCTCTGGGCCCATTTTGGGGCTTTCTTGGGCCCCGAAAAGTCACACGGGGAGACGATCTAAGGCCCAGGGGAAGCGCGCCAAGCCCCAGAAGATTTTAGAATTTGGGGTTTGGGCCTCTTCAGGACCAAGGGACGAGATCTACCCCTACGTGGTCCCTGGAGGAACGCTATCAGCACGTATTGCAGGAACAGGTACGACTGACAGCGGCCAAACGATCTCACCGGCCAGTTGGGCTGTCCGCTGGCCACATCGGCTCGGGGGGGTCGCGGTACAAGGGGCCACTCGTGCCTTGGCACCTTTGCCTAAATATTCTCACTTGTCCACCGTGCCACCTGGCTCTCTGAGTGTGTCGCATATGTTCTCATACATCTGAGACCATATTCTGACATGTCTGGCTAGCACTACGTTGATACAAGCTCTTCGTATTTTTCTTGCTGGCCAGAGGGGCGCCTCCAGCCGTGCAGTTTAGCTCACATTTGTATCATTTCAGTTTCTTGTTTTTCTCGCGCGTTGCACTTTGATCACTGAGTGTACCTTACGAGCATCGTTGAGGCCAGATCCCCACCTCCGTCTTTTATCCGGGATTTGACCCTGCTGTCTGCACGGTGTCGACTGCTGTCCGCGGTGGAGCTCGACTTTTGTACATAATGACTGTGCACGACGTGCTGTCCCGAGGCTTTGCAAAGGTGGTACGTGGCCTGGAGCCCTCATTACGCGCCCTCGGTGTTAGTGCGACTCGTCGTGCCGGCGCCGCTCGCCTTGGAGGTAATGCCAGACAGGTTGCAAGCAAGGTCTTCAAGTAGTTTCTGTCAGCGCGTCCCTGTCGCTCTTCTTCTCCTCCGTATTCTTCTGTGCAGTCGAACGGCGCGGCTCTCTCGAATCTTATATTTATCCTAGCCCCGGCCCTCCCTGCCCCCACCTGCGGGGCATGGACACGATGGGGGCGGCGTGGCACGGGAGCCCGGGCGGGCTCCGCACTCTGTGTTGAGTTTGTTCCATTTTTGTTCCCACCACGCGCGCCCCCGGCCCATGCCAGAGAAGGCGGCACGGGAGGTTGCCCACAGCCTGCAGCTGGCACTGAGCTCGACCACAACCGAACGCGACTCTTCAGGACTTAGGACTGAGGTTCAGAGTATTTGCGGACTGAGGCTCAGGGGGTTGGGTAAAGGACCTGAGGACACGCTCACTCTGTGCCCAGCGGCACGGTGGCGGATACTGTACGGTATTGGTGAACTTGGCATATCTGCAGCAACCATTGGAACAGTATATCTTGTAGCAGGCAGTATAGATCTGTTGTTACAAAACACCATCTTGGTGGAGTTAATATGTCACGTGGATGGCCTTGTGTTGCGGCGGTCTGCGGTCATATTCGACGCAATTGTATTATCTAGCATACCCTTTCTGCTGCGTTCCGATGGGAGCATGCGGCTCAAATTAGTTGGTTTGGGATTGTTTGGGGGCATCCGAACCGCTGCTCGCTACGTATTCTTTGTGACAAACGGCGTGGCCCTGAACAAAGCCTCTCAGGGAGCACTTTCCAGTATCAATAGCTGGAGGGTGTCAATCAGTTCTGCAATACAGACCGTCGCCCCTCCTCTCGGAGCTTCGATGTACGCATGGTCTGCCATTGCAGGTGTTCCT